CGTGCGTGTGTGCGTGTGTGCGTTTGAGGCGCCGCTCTGCATGTCGCTGGCGCGGCTGGCGCATCCCAACTGTCAACCAACTGCGCCGACCGACAACCGCCGCCCTGCTCGTGGCTGCCCCAGGTGATCGCGTCGACCCCGAATGTGGCCAAGCACCTGCACATGCCGGCACAGTCTGGCAGCACCTCGATGCTGGAGCGCATGCGCAGGTGTGCGTGTGTGTGTGTGTGTGAGTGTGTGTATGTGTGTGTGTGTGTGTGTGTGTGTGGTGCGCGCGCCTGCGTGGGTGTGTGTGTGTGTGTGCAAGGTAGGGTTGTTGTGGGGGGGCAAGTGTGTGAGCATGCGGTGGGACGTGTGCATCCCGCCTGGTGCTTTCCCTTGCTGGGGCTGCAGACGAGCCAGCCGCGCCACCGCGCCCACCAATCCACAGTGGCGCACCGCAACCGCGCCCCTCCGCTCCGTCCCCACCCCTCCGCCCGCCTGCCTCGCCCGACCCTCTCCCCAACACCGCCCCCTCGCCTTGCCGCCGCGCCGCCTGCTCGGGCGCCTGTACATCTCACCACGTCCGACCCCGTGCCTCTGCACCCCTCACCCCCACCTCCCCAAAAACACAACAACAGGGGTTACTCAAGAGAGGCGTACGACGCCCTGGTGGCGCGTGCCAGAGCGGCCGTTCCTGGCATGGCCCTCTCAACTGACATCATCTGCGGTGCGCGCGCCCCGAGGCCGGGGCGCCGCCGTGGCGCGTTCGGGCGACTTTTGGCGTTGCGGGGGGCTGGGGGCCGGGGGCACCTGCGTGGGGTGCGACCGGGAGGCGTGTACAGGCCGGCAACGGCAGGCCGGAGGACATCCACGCGCCCGCCCGCCCGTGCGCGTTGCGCTGCCGGCAAAAGCCCCACGCGCAAACGCTGGCGCCCTCGAGGAGCCGGGCTTGAAGCCGGGCTGCGGGGCCCAGCTAAATGCGCCCCGCAGGACGCCGCCCTGCTGAGCCCCTGCGCCGCTTGCCCCCCAAACCCTGCGCGACAGGGTTTTGTGGGGAAACCCCGGAGGAGCATGCAGCGACGCTGGACCTGCTGCGGTCAACGCGCTACGACAACGCCTTCCTGTTCAGCTACAGCAGGTGGCGCCTCGGGGTGGGGTGGTAAACGCTGGGGGTTTGGAGGCACGGGGGAATGGAGGCGGGCGGTGCGGCTGGGGTGGAGGTTTGGCCCGTTTTCCAACCGTACATCTTGAATGTGTACCCTTTGTGGCGTGCACCACCACAACCACTTCATCAGCTTGGGAGAGCAGGGGCGGGGGTCATGTTTGAGGCGTCCAGCATCCTCCTCGTCCCCCCCCCTTTCCAAGCTTCCCTGGGTTCCTCATCCTCCTCCCCCTCTGCGCCTTCCAAGGGATAGCCTCGCGCTCCTCCCTCCCCTCTCCGCCTCCCAGGCGCGACAAGACCCACGCGGCGCGGCACTATGCTGACGACGTGCCCGAGGCGGTCAAGGCAGAGCGGCTTCAGGAGGTGCGGCCTTCACGCGCCATAGTTCCGGGCCAACAGCAGCACGACAAACACAACCAACGCTCATGACGACCAACGCCGCGCCACATCAACATCACTGACCGACAAAACACACATTTGAAACACATGCATACATGCCAACTCACTCGAAAATCACCGACCGCCGTGATCAACCAAACAAACACCCTGCGCGGCGCAGGCGTTTGAGGCGTTCCGGGAGGGCCAGCGCGCGCTGATGTCATTGGAGCCGGGGGCGCTGCACCTGGTGCTGGCAGAGGGCCCCGCCCGCAGCGGCGCCGGCATGCTCGCCGGCCGCAGCTGCACCAACAAGCGGTGCGGCGGGGCTGAAGGGGAGGAGGGGGGGACGGTTGGGTCAGGGATGCGTGGCTTGCGATCAGACAGGACGAGGTGTGCTTCAACGCTTGCAGAACCTTGAACTTGCAGGTAAATAGGCAGCGTCGCGCGCTCCTCCTCGCACCTGGGCGCTGCATACCCGTGTTGCTGCGCCGCAGTCGTTGAGGCCCGCACCTCCCCCCCCCCTCGCCGCCCGGCCCCCATTCTGATCGGCGCGCGCAGGGTGGTGTTCCGGGAAGGGCCCGTGCCCCTGAGCCTGTCAGACCTGCGGCGCCACGCGGCGTTCAACACGCTCCCCCTCTTGGCCGCCCTGGACGATGACGGCTGCGGCGGCAGCAGCAGCAGCAGCAGCAGCAGCAGCAGCAGCAGCAGCAGCAGCAGCAGCAGCAGCAGCATCAGCAGCTGGTGGAGCAGCGGCGGCGGAGGCGGCGGTTGGGTGTACGGCGGGCCGACGTGCGAGGTGCGGCCCGGCGACTACGTGGCTTGCCTCGTGACGGAGGTTGTCGGCAACGCAACCCTGCTGGCCCAGCCGCTCGCGCGCACATCAGTGGCCGAGTTCACGGCGGCGTTTGGCGGGACGGCGCCAGGGCGCCTTGCGACGGGGCACGGCGCGGCCGGCTGGATGGCCCAGGCAACGGCGGCCACGGCTGCGGGGCCATGGGGTTTTGCGGCCGGGGAGGCTGTGGGAGCGGCCGGCGCGCGCCCTGCTGCAGTCGCTGCGTTTGGTCAAGGCGGGTAATCGGTGCCTGGCACGTGCCGAGGGTTTGACTCGTGCTGACGCGTCTTCGTATCCGGGCTTGGGCGATTGACGTGATCATCCAGCCAGCCCTCTGGATCGAATTGGTCCATAATGGGCGCAAAGCGGCCAGCGCAAAGCGGCCAGCGCAAAGGGGCCAGCGCCAATTGCTTACTGTGTGCCGCAATAGCAAACGCCACCGCGCCGCAAGCCGGGGCCCGATGGCGCTGACGGGAGTGGAAGTTGTCCAGCTTCACTCAACCATCATGGCCGTGATACGCCGAGGGTGACGCGCTGCAGTCGACATCAACAATTGGGTACGCATTGAATGGACAGGCTGTAGTGCAGCAACCTGCACAAAGCTGTGTTGGGGCACGTGGCAGGCGGGCGGGAGGGCTGCGGACCAGAGCAGGTGCCAACAGCGGCCCAGACACGGCCTGGCCTCGTACGCGCGAATGGTTCAAATGCATCTTCAAAACAGATTGTAACAGGCACTTGACTCGTTTCCAAGTCGACGTGCGGACGCTGCTGTGGATTCTGCGCTGTGCGCTCTTGAAAATCGCAACAACAGATCATCGGCCCAGACTCCCCTTTACGCGGATCCTCAAATTTCACAGGACAACGGTGATTTTTCAGCGGGCCCGACGGGCGGGGGACAGAAATCAGTGCGAGCCATGCAGGCGTCGACCCAGGCGCCCCCTGCCTGCAGCAGACGCCCGATCATGTCTGCAGGCGGCATAGGTTTCAGCATATGCAGCGGGGCCCGGAGTGTGCAGCGTGCTGCGCTCGCGCGCCAGGTGAGGGGCCTGCGTGCACGTAGAGCACTGACACTGCGACACGCATGTGGACCGATGATAATCAATCGCAGTCGCCACAGCCTTGGCAATGGGCGAGAGCAGTGGGATACACTTCAGCCAGATCGTTGGAACGCGCGAAATGGGTGGCAGCCTCCTGGCGCGAGGCTCCCTGTCGAGGAGGACGCACAGGAACCCCTGCCGGTGTCAAAACGCACACAGGACCCCGTGGGCCCCTGCATCGTCAGCCGGAGGCAGCTGCGGCAGTGGGGGCCAACCGCGCCCGGGCGGCGGCGCTTGCCGCCAGTGGCGTTCAAGGAGGGCGAGGACGGCGGCGAGCCGGCTGAGGCGCGGGTCATCGTGATTACGTCAGGCAAAGGAGGCGTAGGCAAGACGACAGCCACCGCCAACCTGGGCATGTCCATCGCGCGGTGAGTGCAAAAAACATAGCACCCGACCACCCAACCGCCCAAACCGCCCAACCGCCGCGGCGGGCTCGCTTCGGCCGCCGGCCGCGCCTCCCATCCCTACGCCTCGCTCCGCGGGTCCAGCGGCAGCAGGCGCCCGCCGCGCGGCGCCCGTCCAGCGGTGCGCTCTGCTGACGCCGCACCCCTTCACCCCCTACTTGTGTTGCGCGCCCGCACACACACACACACACACACACACACACACACACACACACACACACACACACACACACACAACCAAACACAGCCTGGGCTACAAGGTCGCGCTGCTCGACGCGGACATCGGGCTGCGCAACCTGGACCTGCTGCTGGGCCTGGAGAACCGGGTGCTGTACACCGCCATAGACATCCTGGACGGAGAGTGCCGCCTCGACCAGGCGCTGATCCGCGACAAGCGCTGGAAGAACCTCAGCCTGCTGTCGATCAGCCGCAACAGGCAGCGGTGAGGGCGCGGCGGCAGCGTGCACGGGGACGGCGGCGCGGGCGGGCGGGTGGCGGTGTGGGCGGGCGGCGGGTGGCGGGTGGCGGGCGCGGGGCAGCCGGCAGGGGCTGCGGGCGGCAGGTCCGCCTTCCAGTCAGCTGCTTGACCCGGTACAGGGCATCATGGGCGACCTTGGCATGCACCTCGGGCGGCTGATTTTTCTTCTCCGACTGTTGTACGACTCTGAACACAACGGGCATTTGCACACTCACCTGAACACAATGGACACACAAACGCAACCCATACAACACACTCACGACACACCCACATCCTCGGTCTCAAACCCCCTCCCGGCAGGTACAACATCACGCGCAAGCACATGGAGCAGCTGGTCGAGTCCATCATCAGCCTGGGCTACCACTACGTCCTCATAGACTGCCCCGCCGGCATCGACGTCGGGTTCATCAACGCCATATCGCCCGCGAGGGAGGCGCTGATCGTGACCACGCCGGAGATCACATCCATCAGGTCAGATGCGCGGGGGGAATGGGG